CTTGCGGGGCCCGCCTGGGAGGCCCAGGAGCGCCCCAAGCGGACCCCGAGAGGGCCCTTAACGCGCATGTCGTGCTGCCCTGGGGCCCAGGACGACGACGACATGCGCACGACATGCGCCCTTGGGTCCTTCTTGGGGCTCTCTTGGAGCCCTCCTGGGCCCTCTTGGGGCCTTGCGGGGCCCGCCTGGGAGGCCCAGGAACGCTCCCAGAGGGCCCCGAGAGGGCCCTTAACGCGCATGTCGCGCGCATGTCGCGGGACCTGACCCCCCCTCAGGACGGGACCTGAACCCCCCCTCAGGACCTGACCCCCCCTCCGGACGGGAGGCGAAGGCGCCGCGGGACCTGACCCCCCCTCAGGACGGACGGCGCCGCGGGACCTGACCCCCCCTCAGGACGTACGGCGGCGCGGGCCGCAGGACCTGACCCCCCCTCAGGACCTGACCCCCCCCCTCGGGACCTGACCGCCCCCCTCGGGACCTGACCCCGCCCTCGGAACCTGACCCCCCCCTCGGGACCTGACCCCCCCCTCGGGACCTGACCCCGCCCTCGGGACCTGACCCCCCCCCCCATCGGGACCTGACCCCTGACCCCCCCGGGACCTGACCCACCCCCCCCCTCGGGACGACCTGACTCCCCCCCTCGGGACCTGACCCCCCCCTCGGACCTGACCCCCCCCCCTCGGGACCTGACCCCCCCCCTCGGGACCTGACCCCCCCCTCGGGACCTGACCCCCTCCTCGGGACCTGACCCCCCCTCGGGACCTGACCCCCCTCCGACCTGACCCCCCCCTCGGGACCTGACACCTGGGACCTCGGGACCCCCCCCCCTCCCCCCCCCCTCGGGACCTGACCCCCCCCCTCGGGACCTGACCCCCCCCCTCGGGACCTGACCCCCCCTCGGGACCTGACCCCCCCTCGGGACCTGACCCCCCCTCGGGACCTGGGACCTGACCCCCCCTCACGGACCCCCCCCACCTGACCCCCCCTCAGACCTGACCCCCCCTCGGGACGGACGGCGCCCCCCCTCAGGATCTGACCCCCCCTCAGGACGGGACCTGAACCCCCCCTCTCAGGACGACGGGGGACCTGACCCCCCCTCAGGACGCCGGGGATCGGAGGGCCGCTCCCGCTCCCTCGTCCCTCCCTCTGCCGCTTCCTCCGTTCCTGCTGCCCCCTCCCTCCCTCGTCCCTCCCTCCGTCGGCCCTCCTCCGTCGTCCCTCCTCCCCCCTTCGTCCCTGCTTCCTCTCTCCTCCCTCTCTCCTCCCTCTCTCACACTCTGCCGCTCCCGCTCCCCACTCTGCACGTCGTCGTCGACGTCGACGTCGTCGACGTCGTCGTCGTCGCCTCATGTCCAAGAATTCGGGGGTGTCTTGGAACCAGCCGAACCGGAAACCCTCGGCCGAACCGAACCGCCCGAACCGGACCGAACCGGCCGAACCGAGCGACCGAACCGGACCGGCCGAACCGGACTGGCCAATATACTCGAACCGGACCGGATGGACCGAACCGGACGGCGATCTGAACCGGACCGGCCGCACCGACACGAAGGCGCGACGAACCGGACCGAACCGAACCGAACCGGGGCCATCATGCTATTGCTGCTGCTATTGGAGTAGGAGCGGCAGCAAATGCAAGAGCAAAAGCAAAGGCAATGCAAAGCAAAAGCAAAACCAATGCGAAGGTGTAGATGTAGATGAAGATGTAGGTGTAGGTGTAGATGTGGATGTAGGTGTAGATGTAGATGTAGATGTAGGTGTAGATGTAGGTGTAGGTGTAGGTGTAGATGTGAGTCTCGCTGCTGATGTAGATGTAGCTGTAGATGCAGGTGTAGATGTAGATGTAGCTGTAGGTGTAGATGTAGATGTAGATGTACGTCTAGATGTAGATGTAAGTGTCGATGTAGATGTAGGTGTGTGTATATATGTATAGATATATATAAAGAACTCCCCAGTGTCCCGCCTCATCTCCGTGCCTGCTTGCTTTTGCTGCTGTCTCGGCGACTTGCTGCCTGCTTCTGCTGCTGCTTCACTTACGGCATGGCGTCGGCAGTTCTGGCGCTACTACTACTACTACTACTACTACTACTACTACTACTACTACTACTACTACTACTACTACTACTACTACGACTACGACTACGACTACTACTACTACTACTACTACTACTACTACTACTACTACTACTACTACTACTACTACTACTACTACTACTACTACTACTACTACTACTACTACTACTACTACTACTACTACTACTACTACTACTACTACTACTACTACTACTACTACTACTACTACTACTGCTACTGCTACGACTACGACGATGAGGAGAAGGAGGAGGACGGCGTTTACCGCTCCTCCTCCTAGGTAGGGTCGCACTGGGATAATCTTCTTCGAGTTCTCCGCCTGTAACGGTATTGGCAAGAGGGCTGCGCCACCTCACATCATACTCCCTGGGTCCACGCCAAGGAGCTGTACTTGTTCACGTCCATCAGCAGAGAGACGTGCCCCCTGGCGCCGGTCACGGGCGCCAGATGTTGGCAAGCTTCTGCGCATGGCTGTCTCGCTCCCTCGCAGCGATTGCCGCTGATGCTCGATTGGCTTGCGTGGCTCGGGTCCTTACCACGCGCTCGAGCTCAGCCGCGCGGGCCTTGCACTGCGCCACTGGGGAAATGCCGCCCATCTTCTCGGCGAGGCCCTGCATGCTGGCGAACGCCTACGGGCTGCGCGCGGCAACTTGCAGAGCGCCATCCCCGTCATACCGCCAGGTGGCTGGTCGGGAACCAAATAAAACCTTGGGAGGGGGCTGCGTGCATGGTCCTCGGAGTGATTTTCGGGCAGCCCCGGCTGCGGAGGCATGGCACTGCTTGCACTGCCTGCACCACTGGCATCCTGACAGGTTCTTGCCGCAGCCATTTTCCAACCTTTTTCCAATCGGGTCCAGCGCGGGGTCTCGATAGGTTCCGTGGTTGCCGTGAGGATTCCATCCCACGGAATACACATGTGCCGTGTGCGTCCCTCGTGCAAGTCACAAAGCGAAGCATTCGCCCAAGGCGAACCGAGTGCGAAAACAATTGAGCACTGTCTGGGCTCAGGAGCTATCCGTGTCGGCAATAGGGCGTGGAGCCCCTTCGCATCAATGGCCTTGAGTCGCAACTGCTACGGAGGAGACAGGAGGGAGAAGAAAGGAGGGAGAGGGAGAGAGAGAGAGAGAGGGAGAGGCAGAGGAAGAGGGAGAGGGAGACAGGGACAGAGACAGAGACACAGACGGAGACACGGACAGAGCCAGCGAGGCAGAGACAGAAGCGGAGACAGAGACAGAGGCAGAGGCAGAGACAGAGAAGGGGGAGCGGGAGGGGAAGCCAAGGGGGAGAGGGGGAGGGAAGCGGGTGGGTGAATGGAAAGGAGGAGGGAGAGTGGAGGGGAGGGGGAGGGGGAGGAGGAGAGGGGAGGAGGGAGCGGGCGGACGAATCGGTCGAATCAGGCTCAACCTATGCTGGCAGTGGACAGCCTCGCTCTGGCGGCTGAGCGATACGGTGACGAGGAGCATCAAGGGCCAAGGCTACAGTCCTGACCAGACCGTCGACACGTGAACATGAATGGGTCGACCGACGCGAACGCCGATGGAAAAGGTGGTCATTGAAGAGGCCGCCGACGGCGCCATCGAAGTCGAGGAGGTGACAGGGAAGGCAGGAGTCGAGGAGAGAAGGGAGGAGGGAGGGAGGAGAGACGAGAAAGAGGGTGCTGTGCCAGCTCCCAACCACAGCAGTGCCCAGACCGCAGCGCAGTGGACAAGAAGAGGTGGTCCTGGTGGCTCCCGTGAGAGAATAAGCCTGCGCTGAGTGACACAGGTCCTGGACCACTTGGCGTTCCCCAGGTTTGGCGTTGCATCCAGAGTCGTCTTTTCACTGCGCCCAAAGCCCGGGAAGAGCTCACGGAGGCCGAAAACAACCCAGAACCTAAGGACAGGACCAGTTGCCCTCAGGACCCCTCTGCACAATGGCCAGAAGACGAGGTGGTGGGGATGGTAAGGCTTCGGGCTGCGCGCAGACCGGCCCCCAGGTAGTTCCGGCTGGCCTCAACAGGGCCCCCCCGAGCAGTCCGGGGGGGTCTCAACACCCTGACATCGCCTCCGGCGACGCGAGCGCCCCAGGGTTAAGGTGTTGCGAGGAGCACCCCCAAGGCGCGGCCGGGCTGCTGTTGAGACCGCCCCGACTACTCGGGGGGCCTGATGAGGCCAGCCGGGAATACCTGGGAGGCTTTCTGCGCGCAACTTGAAGCCGGAGCAGCGGGTCTGACGCGGGTGGGCCCGCGGGGAGAGGTGCAATAGCACTTGCAATGGTTGGTGCCCGAATGCAATCACTTGCGCGCTGGATGCAACAGTTGCGCGTGGATGCAATTGTGTAGCTTTTGGCGCACGCAGTAGTCTTGGCGGCGAGCGAGGGGGAGAAGTGAGAAGGCCTTCTCAGAAGGCTCGGAAGTCCCCAAGCCTTCTGAGAGAATCCGAAGCCTTCCCCGACAGAAAACGTCTCAGACGGCGCAAGAGCTTCTGAGAACTCCCACCGCCTTCTGAGAAGGCCTTCTCCTTCTCACTCCCCCCCCTCGCTCGACGCCGATGGTTGTCGCCCGTGCGCCAGTTCGCGCCCGCCCCCGTCGCAAGAACTGAACACTGTTGCACGCAACAATAGACAAGGAACGAACGATGGCACCTCTCGCCGCCGACCCCTCCGCGAACAGACCCGCCCCAATCCAGCTCAGAGCAGCCCGCAGCCCGACCAGATGGGTCGAGTAGGAGATCGACTACAGAATCGAGTTACCCCGAAATTGACTTTCTCGTAATAAGTTCGTTGAAAACTCGACGAACAAATACATAGAAAGTTCGTAGATCTACGGAGCAGTTTTCGCATCTGTCGTAGATTCGACTGAAAATCAACCTAAGGGTGAATCAATTCTGTAGTCGATCTCCTACTCGAATGGGGAACGAGGCGAAAGGACACCCTTTTCCCCGACCGGGGACAGGCCCGAAGCCGGGCATGCTGCGTCATTGTCGGACGGCCACACCCTGAAGCAAGCGCAGGCGCTGCTCCTGCTTGACGCGGATGTCCCTCATCATCTCCAGGCACCTCTCGGCGGCGTGCCAGGGGGCGGGGGGAGGGGTGCGAGTGGGGCGGCCCTCTGAGCTGGCAGAGGGCTGCCTCTAGGGGGCATCGGGTACTTCCGAGAGAGCCCCTCGGAAGAGCCGAGAGGGCTTATACGAAGCCCCCCGCCTGATGAGAAGGGCCTCCCCTATTCACCCCTCCTCTGGCCAAAGCCCGCTGGAAACCGCTCCCCAGACCTCTCCCAGACTCTCGTCGGTGCTTCTCAGGAAACCTGGAAACTCGTCCGCATCGTTTTGGGCGGGACCACCGTCCCGCAGGCGCCGTGTGGGATCCTCCCGAGCCTTCTGGAGGTGCTCCTGGGGACCTCTTGGGCCGTCCAGGGACGATCTCTCGAGTAGGGGATCGACTACAGAACTGTTTTACCCCAAAATTAACTTTCTCGTCGAATATACGAATAATCTATGGCAGTTCTAAGTAAGTGTTGCAGATTCGAAGATCCATGTTCGCGTAAATCAATGATGTCGATCCCCTACTCGAACATCGAGGGCATATTAGGCCGCCCTCGAGGGTGCATCCTGGCCTCCTCGTCGAGCTGCGCCCCGCCGTGGCCACGAGGCGTGCCCGTAAAGGTCGCCACGCAGCACCACGAAAAGCTCCAGAGCCGCTCCTTGACCCGACCCCCCCCGCGCGGGCTCACGGCTAGCAGTTTGCATCCAGCATGCAGATTTTCCACGCAGAGTCGGCACAGCAACTCTCGTTGTCACCAGACGACAACACACCAGGTGATAGATTACCACGCATGGCCGCGAGGAGTGCTGGTTTGGGGGTAAGACAACGACCCTCTAGATGCCCCTATTGGGCGCCGCCGAACCTCGTCAACGACGAGCTGCCCACTTCTTCGAGCTGCCCTTTGCCGTGGCCACGAGGCGGGCCCCCCAAGGGCCCGAAGCGCCGAAAGCGCCCAAGAGCCGCTCGGCCCGACCCCCCCCGACTCTATAGAGGCCTCCTTTGGCACGCCGCCGAACCTCGTCAGCGACGCGAGCCTCGCCTCCAGACGGCACCCCGCCGAGGTGCCAGTGGGGGCTAGCGAGGCCGCGGCGGCGGCGGCCGGCGGCGGCGCCGCGGCGCCCTTCGGCGAGGCAGCGCCCCCGTCGGCCGGCGGCGTCGGCGAGAGGCCCCGGAAGTCTGAGGCGGAGGCGGAGAACTCCAGCGTCTCGCCAGCGGCGTCGGGCGCCGCCCGCCTGTCCCTGGCCTCCGCCCAGCTGCTGCTGCTCACCTGGAGGCCTCCCAAAGCGGGGTACGAACAGGTGGGGTCGGAGGATAACACCGCCTCGCCGAGGCATCGGCGGTGCATTGGCACCGTCGGCGATGCACCGGCGCCGCAGAAGTGGAGAAAACTGGGCTCGAGCCGCCTCGCCCTCCGACCCCGTCTCCTCGGACCCCAGCTAGGAGGCCTGGGCCACCAGATCTTCGGAGATCTCGCTGGCCGCGCTCGCCGACGCCGCGTAGTGGTCCAGCCCTCTCCGCCGGGGCCCTGCCGGCGGCGCCACTGGGTCGCGGGCGCTGCCGCGGCTGACCGACTCCAGGGACGCCGACGCGTCCGCCGCCGCGTCGTCCTTCGGAGCAGGGCGAGTTGAGACAATGGCAGCTCAGAGTCGGTCCCTGGACCTCTCCCAGGGTCCAGACGCACCAGTTTCACGAGATGCGTCCAGCCGTGGCATGCGATGTCCTGTTGTTTTCAGTACGCGGTCCACGGAAGTACCGACCCTTTTTTGCCCAGGGCCGGTTTTCATCCCGAGTCGATTTTGTTCAAGGTCCCGAGGCCCGAGAAGGGCCCCCACAGACAGAAAAGTGAGGAAACCTTTCGTCCTGATTGTTCCAGGCCGTTGCATATGCCTCCACTTGCCCTCCTCTGAGTCCTGCTGCGGCGCCGCCGCCGCGCCGCTGGGTGGCACCGACGACCCACCCGCGGGGCCCCCGGCGCCGACGAGCCCGGCGCCGGCCAGGCCCACGCCCGCGAGGCCGCGCGGCGTGGCGCCCGCAGCGGCGGCGGCGGGCGCCGAGGGCCCCGCCTGCGGCGCCGCGCGCCCTGGGCTGGCCTCCTCGAGGGCGGCGGCGGCGGCGGGGGCGGGCCGGCGATGCTGCAGGCCGCCGCCGCCGCCTCCTCTTTGGGGTCCCAAGACAGTGTGGTGACGGACCGCGTGGCGACCTCGGAATCTCCAACAAGCTCACCGCGCGGTCCGTCACCGCACGGCTTCGGGGACCCTGGAGGCCCCAGTCGCCCGAAACGCCCTCGGAGAACGACCCGAGTCCCAAAACCGTGCGGTGACCCCGAATCTCCCTTGACTCACCACGCGGTGTGGTCACCACAGTCTGGGGGCCCCGGATCCTCTGGAGGCGGCCGAGGGGGACAGCTGGGAGGCCGAGCCCCCCGAGAAGCTCTCGTCGGCCTCGCTGCCCCGCGGGGAAGGCCTGCCCCTGCCCAGCGGGCCACTGGCACGGCCGCGGGATTCGGGCGACGCGGGCGTGAAGGGCGCCTCCGGGGCGGAGGCCTCCTCGTGGCGATCGGCCGCGCGGGCCCGCGTGGGCCCCTCCATGGCAGACGAGGAGGAGGGCGAGGTGCAGAAGTCGTCATCCTCGGGCACCCCCCGCAGCCCCGCGCTGATACTGCAGCTCTTCGACGAGCCGGTGGGGGAGAGCAGGGAAGACGGCAGGGGGAAGCTGGCCTTCGCCCTGCACGCACCGGAATCGCTTCGGCTGCCGGACAAGCTCTCCGCGTCCGAGCTGGCCTCGTTCCCTGGCGCCCCAGCCTCGCCCGCATTCGCCCTGAACGAGCTCGACTTCGAGCCAGCGTCGCTCTGGCTGCCCGACGGGCTCCCCGCATCCGAGCCCGCCTCCTTCCCAGGCGTTCCAACCTCGGCTACCTTCGCCCTGGAAGAGTTCGACTTCGAGCCGCCCTCGACCCGGATGCCTGATGGGCTTTCCGTGTGCGAGCCGGGCTCCTCCCCCAGCGCCTCAGCATCGGGTGGCTCGACCCTCGAAGCACTAGGCTTCGAGCCACCTTCGCTCTGGTTGCTGGACAAACCCTCCGCGTCCGAGTCGGTTTCCGTACCAAACGCCCCGTTCTCGGCTGCCTTCGACCTGGGCGCGCTAGGCTTCGAACCGCCCGCGCTCCCACTGGCAGACAGGCTCTCCGCGTCCGAGTCGGCATCTTTCCCCAGCGCCACATCCTCGGCTGCCTTCGCCCTGGAGGCGCTAGACTTCGAGCCACCTGCGCTCCCACTGGCAGAGAGGCCCTCCGCGTCTGAGTCGGCCTCCTTCCCAAGCGCCACAGCCTCGACTGCCTTCGCCTTGGAAGCGCTGGACTTTGAGCAGCATGCGGTCTGGCTACCCGACAGGCTCTGCGCGTCCGAATCGGGATCCTCCCCCAGCGCCTCAGCCGTGGCTGCATGCTGCCTGAACTTCGCGCGCTCCTCCTCCACAATCCTGCGGCGCCGTTATATGCATATGTGTCCACCTCCCGTTGCTATGGTTGCTGCTGCTGCAACTGCTGCTGCTGCTGCTGCTCCTCCTCCTCCTCCTCCACCTCCTCCTCCTCCTCCACCTCCTCCTGCTGCCCGTCCCCGTCCTCGTCCTCCTCCTCCTCCTCCTCCGCCTCCTCCTCCTCCTCCTCCTCCTCCTCCACCTCCTCCTCCTCCTCCTCCTCCTCCTCCTCCACCTCCTCCTCCTCCTCCTCCTCCTCCTCTTCCTCCTCCTCATCATCATCAGCAGCAGCATTATCAACATCAGCATCAGCATCATCATCATCATCATCATCATCATCATCATCATCATCATCATCATCATCATCATCATCGCATCATCAGCATCATCATCAGCAGCAGCAGCATCATCAGCGGCAGCAGCATAATTAGCATCATCAGCATCATCATCAGCAGCATCATCATCAGCATCGTCGTCATCATCAGCACCATCGTCATCGTCATCATCATCAGCAGCAGCAGCATCAGCAGCAGCAGCAGCTGCATTATCATCATCATCATCATCATCATCATCATCATCATCATCATCATCATCATCATCAGCATCATCATCATCATCATCATCATCATCATCATCATCATCATCAGCTTAATCATGCTCATCATCATAATCAGCATCGTCCATCATCATCAGCATCATCATCATCAGCATCATCATCAGCATCATCACATCATCCATCAGCACCATCAGCATCGTCATCATCATCATCATCATCGCCAGCATCATCAGCATCATCACCATCATCATCACCAACATCATCATGATCATCCGCATCACCAGCATCATCAGCAGCATCATCAGCATCATCATCATAATCACCACCATCTCATCAGCACCATCATCACCATCATCATCATGGACACCAAAATCACCATCATCCATCAGCATCATCATCATCCACATCCACATCCACATCAGCATCCACTCAAATAATAATAATAATCGTCCTCATCATCGTCGTCATCATCATCATCATCATCATCATCATCATCATCATCATCATCATCATCATGATCATCCGCATCATCATCAGCAGCAGCAGCATCATCAGCATCATTACCCTGGCCTGCTCATCAATCAAGGGCAGAATGGACGCCGCGCTGGGTCAACGGTCCCAATAGGATGCACCCTCTGGATGTGCATGCCGCAACCCGCAGGGCACGGTGAGCAAGCTGATGCGTTGAAAGGCCTGATCCCACCCGCGGGCTGCTCATTCAGAATCACCCGCGTCGCCCCCGCAGCTTTGAAGGCGTGGCGCACCAGCGGAGCTGAGCCATCCTCAGCTCAGAGGGCCTCCACCACTTCCGGAAGGTGGCCACTGCAAGGAACCGCTAGTGAGGGAGATCAAGCAGCCACCTGGTCAGCAGCCCTGGGGTCGCGGCTGAAGCCCTGAAAGTCATTTGCTCGATCTCCTCGAGTGGTTTGCCATCGCAAGGGTGCAAAACAAAAAGCAGCCTCTTTCGGAACACGTACCGCGTGCCACACTTTGGCGGCCCCAGGCACTCCTCCAAAAAAACGCTTGAAAACAAAACTTGCGTGCCAACCACATCTCGCGCAACATATCAGCAAACCGTCAGCACTGGTACCAGCAGGGAGCGCGTGCAAAGAGCGCACACATCTTAGGCGATCGCGAAATGTGCTCGAGAAAGGAGAGCAGCGTTGATTACTGCGACAAGCGACGACTTCATCAGAGTGGCTCGATGTAAAACATGCAACACAGCGCCAGGGAACAGATTCAGCTCTCCGCCAATCATGGACTAGTGAGAGCTAGGTCTTGAAACAATCTTGGTCACTCGACTTCCCCTCTCACAGAAACCCATGCCAACCCCCAGCATGCGTGCGATGAAATTCAAAATGCTAGCGGTGTCCTCCTTCATATCTTCCAGTGCCCACAACGACGAAGGGTCGGGCGACTGATGCATCTGGAGGGCCGATGTAGCAGACTGATCACATTGCTTGCTCGTGCGGAACAGCGGCAATTCCACTGTGGCGATTGCGCCCTCATCATGATGGGACGCGGTTTGGACCTCTGCCTCTGAAAGCTCGCTATTGTCGCTACCAATCGCCGCGCGAAATGCACCTGAATACTTGCCTTTGTAGTGTTTGAAGCCGGCGCGCGCGCACGCGCCATCAAAGCTCGCGTTGGGCCCGACGTGACAAGCATATCCCAGTCCTACCACAGCCTCTAAACCCACTCGTCTGATGTCCATGGTGAGATTACTCGCAAGAGGAGGGAGGGTAATAGGGTCAGAGGAGGCGTAGGGAATGCTTCCTAAGTGAAGCGCTAACTCCTTGTCAGCTTTGTCTATACAGCTAGCTAAGAGGACTGGGGAAAGTAACTCGCTTTTCCGATTCACGATTTCCTCTGCTTGGCAATGGAACAGACGGCGCACCAAGGCATCACATGCGCAGCCACAGAGAGCACAACGGTCCTCAATGAGATACCCTGCACATGCAGCCTTTCTAATGGTCCAGGAACCCTGGCAGAGCAGAGCCCTCAGAAGGGCCGCTTGTCCCAGAATCCGCGTTTCTCCCCCTTCAGTGTTCAGAATCCTCCTGGCCACGTCAAAACTAACCCTAGGAACGTCCTGGGCGCGGCTCAGACTGCGAGCAGCTTTTACTGCCAACATCCTCACAAAGGCACCCTGAAGGCAAAAATCCACGAACTTGGGCGAAACATCCAGGAGCGAGAACAGCTTGCCCTCGTGCGTGCACAGCACAAAGAGCCTTTGAAAATATCAGCCTTTCCAGTCATGGGCATGCGCCGCCGCCGCGACAGGAAATCGAACTCGGTCGCACTGGAGCCCAGACCTCGGCGCGACTTGCTCCCAGAAAGCAATTGGGGCAGCTTCGCCAATGCCTGCAGCCCGGACCTCCCGAGCCCATCTCAAGACTGGCGCGAAAGCCCACCTGTCGGCTTTGTACGCGCACAATGCGAACGTAGCAGATCTGCATGTACCTTTACACTTTGGCCCCGCGGCCGACAATGCAATGCAATGCTGCGAAGCTGCTCGAGGTCAGTGGTTGACAGACCTTCAACAGCTAAGGCGTAGAACCCCGATATTACGGGCTCCCTGGCCCGCAACTCTCCCCAACTGTTTGAGACGCACAGCCCTGTGACGCCTGCTCATCCCCATGATGAGCATCATCACCAGCAGCAGCCTCATCGCCATGACCACCGCCATCACAATAATCATGAGCAGCACCATCATCACCGTCATCACCGTCATCACCATCATCACCCTCATCATCACCGTCGTCATCAGCACCGTCATCATCATGAGCAGTATCGTCGTGGACATCAGCATCATCATCACCATCACCACAGACACCCTCATCAGCATCGCCACCACCACCACCACACTCATCACCATAATCATCATCTACACTGTCATTTGTCTTCATCATCACCATGGTCATACTCAGTATAGCCATCATCATCACTCCCATGACCATCACCAGCAGCAGCAGCGGAAACGTCATCACCACGATCACCATCAACATCACCACCCTCGCCCTCATCACCACCATCACCACCACCACCATCGCCGCCACCATGATCAGCAACAACAGCAGCACGATCACCCACCACCATCATTCATGCCCACGGCCATCCTGATCCTCACCCACATCTTCATCCTCAGCTTCAGGCTCCCCTCCACACAACTGCTCGCAATGGACGAACGTGCAACACACAAGCCAAACATGCCCAAGCTTTTCGGGGTGGGGGAATTCCGAGAGAACAGAGAAGCCTGCAGACCAGGGGACGGAGACAAAGGGCGAGCTATGTGGGGCACAAACATGACTCGCCAGGCCCTTTTTCCGAGTTACTGTTTGCAGCGAACGAGCGAGCATCGCAAAAACAGAGAATCTGCCCACGACCAGCCCCGCAAACAGCACTGGCATGGCGAACGAAACCCCTTCGAAACATCGCCGAATTCAATGCAAACACCGAGGCACGAGTCAACTTAGGAGGCCGAGGAGAGGAGGAGAAAAGCAGACAGGACACAAATCGCGCGCGCACAGGAAAATGCCCCATGCCACTCTAGCCTTGACCCAACCCAACAACACGAGAAAAACCTCGCTATTCAGCAGACCTCGCGCCAAAGGCAAACGCCACCACCGATGACAATCCACCGACCCCTTGGGGTTGATCGGCGCGCGAAGTGCTTCTCCCTTCCCAAACCCTTCCCCGGGAGCACGGTACGGTCGAGTTTTTTGGGGGCGGTTCTATCCGGGCCGGCGGGGGGTTATCTGAGCCGGCCGGGGGGAGGAACTTTGCTCCAGAAAATGTTCTGGGGGGGCATCGAGGGTTTCAAAACGGGCCACTAGGGCCCCAAGAGACCTCCAAGACGGTCCAAGAGGACCCCGAATCGTCGAAACATCGTCCCAAGACGCCCAAGATGGCCTCCAGACGGTCCAAGATGCCTCCAAGAGGCTTCGAAGAGGCCACACAAGAGGGCCCCCAGAAGCCAAAATCATTGATTTTCCTTGGGCTGTTTTTTAAAGCTCTTGGCATTCTCGCCGTTTCTGGCCGCCGACGCTCGAAGACGGCCCAGGAGGCCCCCAAGACCGCGACAAGACGGCCCCAAAAGGCTCCCAAGAAGGCGGCCTAAGAGGGCCTCAAGACAGCCCAAGAGGACCCCAACAGGGCCACAAGAGGGGTCCAAGACCTGGACCACGAACAGAAAATTCAAGCTCTCCGACCCAAGAGGCCCCCGGGAAGCCCCAAGAGGCCCTCAAGGGGACGCAAGAAGCCCCCAAGAGACCCCAAGGTGCCCAAAAGAGGCCCCAAGAGGCCCCAAAACAGCCCCCCAGAGGCCTCCAAACTGCTTCGGGCAGGCCCCGAGAGGCTTCTCACGAGATCCCAACGAACATCCAAGAGGCCTCTGACCCACAACCCAGGCACGGTGGCGGGATGGGCCGAAGGCCACTACATCCGC